GTATGTGTAGCTGAGGACAGCGAAGGGGTCACATTCCGGGGCACACGGCCTCCCGTCGCTCCGGGAGTTCCCAAGCCAGGTTCCGCTCCCCGAACCCAAGTCCCCGGGCCACGCTCGCGGACGATGCCGCCATTTTGTCTCCCGTTCCCGGCCTCTGTGGGCGGCGGCAGAGGGTCCAAGAATTCCAGCCCCCCGTTGCCCCCACAACTCACCGTCGTATCGCTCAGCCTGCTCGGCCAGCTTCGCCTGGTACACCAGATCCTCCCGATCATCCATAGCGGCAGCGGCTCCGGCAGGGTCTGCGCGACGGATGGAAACGGATAGTGTCTACGACTCTCTCAGCCTTTCGCTCCGCGTCCGGGCAGCAAAAATGGCGGCGCCTCAATCCGGGACTTCCGCCTGCGCACGCGGACAACTGCTCAGCTCTATGGCAACCGCTCCCTGGCAACTGGCGCGGGGGGCGGGTCCTGGAACCTGCGCCGGAGACGCCCCTCCTCCGTCCGCTCAGCGGGCGCCGGGGCCTAGAGGCGGGAACTGCGACTGCCGCGAGGGAGCGGCCCCCGGGGAACACGACGGCGGTGGCCAGGCCGGCCCGGGCTGCTCCTGAAAACCGCGGGCGCGAGACCTGGGCCAGACTGACGGCCGACGTCCGGCCTGCGGAAAACCACCACGGAGGCTGGGACGGTTTCTGTCATCATAGCAGGTCTTCCTGCCTGAAATCAGCGCTGTTTCTACCGCGCCCTGGTTTTCTTTTTCCTTTTTCTTTTTCTATTTTTTTGAGATGGAATTTCACCCTATCGTCCAGGCTGGAGTGCGATGGCGCGATCTCGGCTCCCTGCAACCTCCGCCTCCCGGGTTCAAGAGATTCTCCCGCCTCAGCCTCGCGAGCAGCTGGGATTACAGGCATGCGGCTCCACGCCCGACTGATTTTTGTACTTTTCGTAGCGAAGGGGGTTTCTTCATCTTGGCCAGTCTGGTCTCGAACTCCTGACCTCAGGTGATCCGCCCGCCTCGGCCTCCCAAAATGCTGGGATAACAGGCGTGAGCCACCGAGCCCAGCCAGCGTCCTGGTTTTCTCCGCCAAGCCTGGTCGTGGGCCTTTTGCAGACACTTTTACCCTCAGGGTAAAGAGCTGGGCCCTGGCCCCGGCGCGGTGACTCACTCCTGCCATCCTAGCAGTTTGGGAGGCCGAGGCCAGCGGATCACTGAAGTTGGGAGTTCAAGACCATTCTGGCCAACTTGGCGAAACCCCGTCTCTACTAAACAATGTACATATGAGGCGGGCGCGGTGGGGGGCGCCTGTAATCCCAGCTACTCCGGAGATTGACGCAACAGAATCATTTCAAACCGGGAGGGGGAGGGTGCGTTGAGCCAAGACGGCGCCATTGCACTCCAGCCTGGTCAACAAGAGCAAAACTCCATCTGAAAAAAAAAACAACACTGGGCCCTATTACAGTTGGCAGGGACAGGGGAGCTGCAGTTTTCACGCCTCCACTTTGCCCTCACACTCATCTTTATCTTCTCCTGTTTAACCTTTTTTCCCCAGAGGCTGCCATGAATGGGAGCAGGGAAATTGTTAGAAGAGGATGGTGTGGAGTACATAGTATAGAATAGTCGAACTGAGATCAATTTAAGATTGAGGAGGCAGGAATAACTCAGGGAACATTGCTTCAGTGCCTGGGCCTTGGGAGGCTGAGGCAGGAGAATCACTTGAGCCCAGGAGTTTGAGACCAGCCTAGACAACATAGCGAGATGCCATCTCTACAAAAAACTTTGTTTTTAATTAGCCAGCCATGGTGATGTCACCTGTGGTCCCAGCTACCCAAGAGACTTCGGTAGGAGGATTGCCTGAGCTTGGGAGGTCCGGGCTAAAGTGAGCCATGTTAGTGCAGCTGCACCCCTGCCTGGGCAACTGTGAAACCCTGACTCAAGAAACAAAACAAAACAAAAACAGAAAGAAAGAAAAAGGTAGGGCCCAGAGTGGTGGCTCACACCTGTAATCCCAGCACTTTGGGAGGGTGAGGCAGGTGGATCACCTGAGGTCAGGAGTTTGAAACCAGCCTGACCAACATAGAGAAATCCCGTCTCTATTTAAAACAATAATATACCTGTAATCTCAGCCACTCGAGAGGCTGAAGCAGGAGAATCGCTTGAACCCAGGAGGCAGAGGTTGTGGTGAGCCAAGATTCCCCCATTGCACTCCAGCCTGGGTGACAGAGGGAAACTCCATCTCAACAATGACAACAAAAAAAAAAGGTAGGTTAGAATCAAATTGTGAAGGACCTGGGATAGTAAGAAGTTTAAATCAATTTTTTTTTTTTTTCCGAGATGGAGTCTTGCTCTGTCACCCAGGCTGGAGTGCACTTGGCACACTGCAACCTCCACCTCCTGGGTTCAAGCAATTCTCCTGCCTCAGCCTCCCGAGTAGCTGGGATTATAGACACCCATCACCATACCCCGCTAATTTTTATGTGTGTGTGTGTATATATAATTTTTTTTTTTTTTTTTTGAGACGGAGTTTCACTCTTGTTACCCAGGCTGGAGTGCAATGGCGTGATCTCGGCTCACCGCAACGTCCACCTCCTGGGTTCAGGCAATTCTCCTGCTTCAGCCTCCTGAGTAGCTGGGATTACAGGCACGTGCCACCATGCCCAGCTAATTTTTTGCATTTTTAGTAGAGACGGGGTTTCACCGTGTTGGCCAGGCTGGTCTCAAACTCCTGACCTCGTGGTCCACCTGCCTCAGTCTCCCAAAGTGCTGGGATTACTGGTGTGAACCACCCTACCCAGCCATCAATTTCACTTTTTAAGAGACATAGGGGCATGTTGGCTCATGCCTCTAATCCGAGCTACTTGGGAGGCTAAGGCAGAAGAAACACTTGAACCTGGGAGGTGGAGGTCGCAGTGAGCTGAGATCCTGCCATTACACTGCAGTCTGGGTGAAAGCACAAAGCTCTGTCTCAGAAAAAAAGAGACATAGGAGCCTGGCATGCTGGCTCACACCTTGAAATCTTAGCACCTTCAGAGCCTGAAGCAGGAGGAACTCCTGAACGCAGGAGGTTGAAGCTGCAGTGAATCGTGATTGCACCAGTGCACTCCAGCCTGGGTAACAGAGTGAGACCCTGTCTCAAATAACAAAGTGGGGAGGGGGAGGGATATTGCGGTGTTTCACACACTGGCCTTAAACTGAGCTCAAGCAGTCTCACCTTGGTCCCCCAAATAGCTGGGAAAATACAGGCTTGCACCAGCACACCCAACTCTGCATCCTATTTTGTGGCCAAGGGAGCTGTATGATTTTGTATGGAGGATGATGTCATCGTTATATTTGAGAAATATTAATAAATGTTGAATAGCAATGATTAAAGAGGAGGAGAAGCAAAGGTAAGAGATGGTAGCCATGAAAATAGAAAGGAAAGGATAAATAGGAATAGCACTATAGAGGCAGGCCACACAGTTTCTAGCTGATCAGATTGGAGCTCTTTTTTTTCTGAGACAGAGTCTCACTCTGTCACTGAGACTGGAGTGCAATGGTGCGATCTCGGTTCATGCAACCTCTGTCTCCCAGGTTCAAGCAACGCTCTTCTCAGCTTCCTGAGTAGCTGGGACTGCAGGCGCCTGCCACCATGCCTAGCTAATTTTTTGTATTTTTAGTAGACAGGGTTTCACCATGTTCTCGAACTCCTGATTCGAGAACTCCAGATTACTCAGGTAATCTGCCCACCTAGGCCTCCCAAAGTGCTGGGATTACAGGTGTGAGCTACTGCATCCAGCCTTTTTTTTTTTCTTTTTTTGAGATAGATTGTCACTCTGTCTGCAGGCAGGAGTACAGTGGCATGATTTCGGCTCACTGCAAACTCCGTCTCCCGGGTTCAAGTGATTCTTCTGCCTCAGCCTCCTGAGTAGCTGGGATTACAGGCATGCGCTACCATGCCCAGCTAATTTTTTGTATTTTTAGTAGAGACGGGGTTTCACCATATTGACCAGGATGGTCTCAAACTCCTGACCTCGGGATCCAGCCGACTCAGCCTCCCAACGTGCTGGGATTAGGGGCGTGAGCCACCATGCCTGGCCGATTGCACATTCTTAAACAGCCAAGAGGTAAAAGAAATAACGAGAGAAATTAGAAACTACCAGGGTTATTTTCTCTGTGATAAGGGTGACAAAAAAAAAAATCCCACTAGAGATGAATAAAAACACAACGTTCCAAAATGTACGGAACCAGCCAAAGGAGTGCTGGGGAAAACTGTGTGTGAAAATGCCTGAGTTAAGGAAAAGGGTGTGACTAAAGGATATGGTTTGTCCTGGAGAGAAGAGACATAGGGTTTGAGGAGGAATGAGTTCTGGTTCTCTATTGCACAGCAGGGACCGGACCTCACAATGATGCCTGTGTATTTCCAACAGCTAGAAAAGAGGATTTTGAATGTTCTCAAAACAAAGAAATGATAAGTCTTTAAGGTGATAAATACACTAATTACCAAGATATCATTACACAATGTATACATGTGTGAAAACATCATGGCCAGGCACTGTGACTCACACCTGTAATTCCAGAACTTTGAGAGGCCAAGGTGGTCGGATCACGAGGTCAGGAGCTAGAGACCATCCTGGCCAACACGGTGAAACCCCGTCTCTACTAAAAGTACAAAAATTAGGTTGGCTCATACCTGTAATCCCATACCTTTATCCGCGGTGGCTCATACCTGTAATCCCAGCATTTTGAGACGCCAAGGCAGGCAGATTGCCTGAGCTCAGAAATCCGAGACCAGCCTGACCAACATGGTGAACCCCCATCTCTACTAAAAATACAAAAATTAGCCAGGTGTCGTGGTGCGCACCTGTAGTCCCAGCTACTCGGGAGGCTGAGACAGGAGAATCACTTCAACCTGGGAGGTGGAGGCTGCAGTGAGCTGAGGTCACACCACTGCACTACAGCCTGAGTGACAGCGAGACTCCATCTCAAAATAAATACATAAATAAAAATAAATAATAAAATAAAATAAAAAATACGAAGTTAGCTCCTCCTTCTGCTGCTCCAGTGCTGTTTCTGTGCCGGTTCGGTGCAGACCTGCTACCTCTTGTGAAGCGGCAGCTGAGGAGACTCCAGCGCTCACTGTGGCTGATGAAAAGCCCAAGGAAGGAGTCCAGACTGAGAACAACGATCCTATTAATCTGAAAGTGGCGGGGCGGGATAGTTCTGTCGTGCAGTTTGAGATTAAGAGGCATACACCACTTAGTAAACTAATGAAAGCCTACTGTGAACGGCAGGGATAGCCAATGAGGCTGATCAGATTCTGAGTTGACAGGCAACCAATCAGTAAAACAGACACACCTGCATCTTTGGAAATGGAGGCTGAAGACACAATTGATGTGTTCCAACAGCAGGCGAGAGGTGTCTACTGAAAAGGGTTCTTTATCCCTGAACTCTGTTCTTTAAAGACCAAGATGACATTCTCAATTAGAAAACTGCAATTTGGGCCGGGCACGGTGGCTCAAGCCTGTAATCCCAGCACTTTGGGAGGCCGAGAAGGGTGGATCACGAGGTCAAGAGATCGAGACCATACTGGTCAACATGGTGAAACCCCGTCTCAACTAAAAATACAAAAAATTAGCTGGGCATGGTGGCGCATGCCTGTAATCCCAGCTACTCAGGAGGCTGAGGCAGGAGAATTGCCTGAACCCAGGAGGCGGAGGTTGCAGTGAGCCGAGATCACGCCATTGCACTCCAGCCTGGGTAACAAGAGTGAAACTCCATGTCAAAAAAAAAAAAAGAAAACTGCAATTTGGCCGGGCACAGTGGCTTATGCCTGTAATCCCAGCACTTTGAGAGGCCTTGTGGATGACAAGGTCAGGAGATGGAGACCATCCTGGCCAACGTAGTGAAACACCGTCTCTACTAAAAATACAAAAAAAGGCTGGGCGCGGTGGCTCAAGCCTACTGTACTCCCAGCACTTTGGGACGCCGAGGCGGGTGGATCACGAGATCAAGAGATCGAGACCATCCTGGTCAACATGGTGAAACCCCGTCTCTACTAAAAATACAAAAAATTAGCTGGGCATGGTGGCGCGTGCCTGTAATCCCAGCTACTCAGGAGGCTGAGGCAGGAGACTTGCCTGAACCCAGGAGGCTGAGGTTGCGGTGAGCTGAGATCATGCCATTGCACTCCAGCCTGGGTAACAAGAGAGAAACTCCGTCCCAAAAAAAACACAAACAAAAAAAATAGCTGGGTGCGGTGGCGTGTGCCTGTAGTCCCAGCTACTCGGGAGGCTGAGGCAGGAGAATTGCTTGAACCCGGGAGGTGGAGGTTGCAGTGAGCTGAGATCGTGCCACTGCACTCCAGCCTGGTGCCTGGTGATGAAGTGAGACACTGTCTCAAAAAAAAAAGTAGCCGGGCATGGTGGTACTTGCCTTTAGTCCCAGCTACTCAGGAGACTGATGGAGGAGAATCACTTGAACCTGGGAGGCAGAGGTTAGTGAGCCAAGATCATGCCATTGCACTCCAGCCTGGGCAACAGAGTGAGACTCTGTCTGAAAAAAAAAAAAAGAAATAAAACTGCAGTTTGTTTCCACCACCTCCTGACTACTACGGCACAGTGTGGTCTGTTCTTTCCTTTCCCCCTCCGCTTCCTCTATTGTACATAAAGTAACTGGCATACGTACACAAGCATACTGCACCTTTTTTTTTTTTAGACTGAGTTTCTTTTTTTTTTGTGATTAAAATCTTTTCTTCTTTTTTTTTTTTTCTTTTTCTCATTTTACTTTATTTTTTTTTAGAGGGAAAAAGAGAAAAAGAAGGGAAAAAAAGAAAAAGAGGGAAAAAGGAATATTACTTCATTCCTAAAATGGGTTTCAATAATGGCCAATCAATATTTTGAGTGTTTAAAGTGGTTAATGCATATTTTATGTGTTTAAAATGGAGACCTCTATTGTGTTTATTTGTTCTGGCTCTGAGTTCAAGTCCTGGATATTGTTATCAATTTGTTGTCTCGTTGAATCTAAATCTCATTATGTGTCTTATGTATCTGGGTGTTAAGATCTCTTATTGTTACATTAATCCTTTTACCCTTGCATCCTTGTAGCTTTGAAATCTATTTTATTAAGTGTGAGAATTGCAACTCCTGCTTTTTATTTATTTTTGCTCTCCATTTGGTTGGTGAGTTTTTTTCCATCCCCTTGTTTTGAGTCTTTGTATATCTTTAGATATATCGTTAGATTTTGTGGATAATGTGTATTTTGTGTGTTTAAAATGGAGAGCTCTATTGAGTTTATTTGTTCTGGATCTTAGTTCCAGTCCCGGATATCGTTATCAATTTTCTGTCTCGTTGAATCTAAATCTCATTATGGGTCTTATGTATCTGGGTGTTAAGATCTCTTATTATTACATTAATCCTTTTACCCTTGTATCCTTGTAGCTTTGAAATCTATTTTGTCAAATGTGAAAATTGCAACTCCTGCTTTTTATTTATTTTTGCTCTCCATTTGGTTGGTACGTTTTTTTTTTTTTTTCCAACCCTTTATTTTGAGTCTGTGTATATCTTTGGATATACCGTTAGATTTTGTCTGTATCTTTTGATTGGGAGATTTGGTCGATTTAAATTTAGGGTTGCTTTCATTTGATATTAACTGGCTATTTTGTCCTTTCGTTGATAAAAATTCTTCTTTATGTTAATGCTCTTTACTTTTTGGTGTATTTTTAGAAAGGGTCATACTGGTTGTTCCTTTCTGTGTATAATGCTTCTTTTAGAAGTTCTTGTAAAGCAGGCCTGGTGGTAATAAAATCTCTGAGTACTTGCTTGTTCCTAAAAGATTTTATTTTTCCTTCAAATGTAAAGCTTAAATTGGCAGGATATGAAATTCTGGGCTGAAAGTTCTGTTGATTAAGTATATTGAATATTGGCCCCCACTCTCTTCTAGCTTGTAGGGTTTCCGTTGAGAGATCTGCTGTAAGCCTAATAGGCTTACCTTTATGGGTAACTTGATCTTTCTCTCTGGCTGCCCTTAATATTTTCTCCTTCGTTTCGATCTTGGTGAATCTAACGATTATGTGCCTTGGGGTTGGTCTTCTTGAGGAATATCTTTGTGGTGTTCTCTGTATTGCCTGGGGTTGAATAGTGTCCTGCTTTGCTAAATTAGGAAAATTTTCCTGGATAATGTCCTGGAGAGTATTTTCCAGCTTGAATTCATTCTCTCCGTCACATTCAGGTACACCAATCAAGCATATATTAGGTCTTTTCACATAGTCCCATATTGCTTGGAGACTTTGCTCATTCTTTTTTATCCTTTTTTTCTCTATTCTTGTCTTGTCGTTTTGTTTCATTAAGTTGATCTTCGACCTCTGATACCCTTTCTTCTGCTTGATCCATTCGGCTGTTTAAGCTTGTACATGTTTTACTAAGTTCTCGTGTTGTATTTTTCAACTCCATAAGTTCATTTGTATTCCTCTCTATATTGTCTATTCTTTTCAACATTTCATCGAACCTTTTTTCCAAGTTCTTAGTTTCTTTACATTGGGTTAGAACAAGTTCCTTTAACTCCCAGAAGTTTCTTATCATCCACCTTTTAAAGCCAACTTCAGATAATGGAACACAGTCCTTTTCCATCAGGGCTTGTTCCGTTACTGATGAGTCCTTTTCCATCAGGGCTTGTTCGATTGCTGATGAGTCCTTTTCCATCAGGGCTTGTTCCGTTGCTGATGGGTTCTGATATTGAGTATACTCGGCCTTCTTAGGCTGTTTTTTTCCCTTCATTGTAGATGAACCGCCTTTCTAATTAGGTTTCTGAGTCAACGTCTGACTTATTGATTCCCAGTGCTGGGATCGGAGCAACCCAGTATGGCAGCCTAAATAGCAGTGATAAGACTGATGGTGCTCTTCTGCCCCGGAATCTCTGGTCTTGCTCTTGAGTCCGCAACAAGCGGCTCTGACTTCCCGGAGCTCCAAACTCCGGTCAGTAGGGGAAGCAGTCCCGTTGGCTCTGCATGAAGAGCTGCTGCGCCGAGACTCCGGCAAAACCGCTGCGGCAGCCACAAGAGTCGCGCTGGCGACCTGTGGGGCTCCTCCACTGGGAATCGGCTAATCGGTGAGTGACGAAAATTTGTCTGAAGATGTGGCCTCGTCTCCTTCTCTGAGCTTTCACTGGGAGCTACAATCCTGAGCTGTTAGTGGTCGGCCATCTTGGATCGATCTCCTAGACTGAGTTTCGCTGTTGATACCCAGGCTGGAGTGCAATGGCACGATCTCAGCTCACTGCAACCTCCGCCTTCTGGGTTCAAGCAATTCTCCTGCCTCAGCCTCCTGAGTAGCTGGGACTACAGGTACGCATCACCATGCCCAGCTAATTTTTGTATTTTTAGTAGAGACGGGGTTTCACCTTGTTGAACAGGATGGTCTTGATCTCTTGACCTCGTGATCCACCCTCCTCGGCCTCCCAAAGTGCTGGGTTTATAGGCGTGAGCCACCGAGCCCGGCCATACTGCCCGTTTTTAACAGCCAGTGGTGTGTTTTGATTGACATCAAGTGGAGATTGTCGGGGTCCGGCACGTCTGCCGGGGGACTGCCGACCCGCGGGAGTCCCCAAGACCGCCAACGTAGATGTCTCGTTCAACCTGAGAGAGAGAGTGCGCGGAAAAGAAAGAATATAGAAAAGTAGAGTCTGGAGGGCTGCGTGAAGATATGGCCAAAACGCAGCAAATTTATTTTTGTGGGTTACAGCTTTTATACCTTTTGTCTTGTTTACATTTACGTCATCTCAGCAGAAAGAAACAAAGGGGAAAACAGAAAGGAAACAAAAACTCCATAAAATAGATATCCGGGGCTTGATATCCTGCTCAGGAAGCAGTTTAAGGGGGCTAATGGTAGTAGTTTACATTTCAATGATTTTACATTCCAAAGATACAATGGCACCCTTAAGGTGGCTGGTTAAACCTGTTTTGCATCAGGAGCTAAAACAAAGGCTTGGCTCCAGGGAAAATATGGGCAGAGGTCTCTGCTCCTCTTAGACATTTCAATTGCAGCAAGTTTATTGCTTACACAGAGACTGAAGGGGGACATGGAAGCAGACAGCACAATGTCCTCATAAACTGCAGGCCTTTGCTTTGCATTTTGTTGTTGCTTTTAGTGAGTCAGCTTACGGCTTTGTCTCACTCGACAGCCCTCGAGGTGAGGAAATGCAGTACAGGTCCAGCAGCCAAACTGAGACGAATCAACTAACTGTCTCGAGCCTTTGGCGCGAACACCACATCTCCCGTTTTTTTACTTTGCAAATGAAGTGTAAACAGCTTCAGTTGCATCTCTCGGAGGGTGGAGAACACAAGATGGAAGACACATGGCAGGCACAACATTAAGCATTACTATTATTAATATGTAGGGTGTAGTACATTGAAACAGACCACACAGGAATTTCATGTCCGAGCAGCAGTCAGTGGCAGCTGTCACCTTCACTAGGAAGACAAGCTAGATTTACAGCATTGTGGGGTAATGCTCAAAAGCCTCAGGAGGGATTGCCGGCTGGGCACATCCCCGGTGTATGCTGGCCTTACTGCGGCTGTGCCTGTCTTAGGTTGTCCTCCCCTGAGGATCTTACCCGTCATTGACTAACCAGCCATCCCTTCAGGTCCAGCATCATAGTCAATATTATCTTTAGAGGCTAATGGCCTTGCAAGTGATATTAGATTATATGTCACTGAGGAGCACATGCACCTACATTTCTTCAGCTTGAGCCCGCCACCTCTGCTAGGACTGACATTCTGTGTGCCTCTTTTTTGTACAAACACCTCAAATGTTAGCTAACGCCTATTTTACTGTCTAACTTTAAATGATGCAGTTTAGCTTCTAACTTGTCATCAATAGACATTTGAGATCCCATAGCAATAGAAACATTTTTGGCTAAATGATTCACATATACAGTAGTATTAACAGATTTTGAAAGACTAACAGCAGCTGTAGCTGTAGAAGTTATCACAGACACAATGGCTATAATTGCCGACATAGAATCACAAGAAAAAATGGCTAGCATGGCTAAAAATAGAGTAACCGGATTAAGAGAATGTCCTTGCTGACGAACAATGTGTGACGCATCAGCCACTAGGTGTCACATCTGGGTCCAGGTCAGGACTGGAACCTTTTGAGGAGGTGTCAGCTGGTGCCGCTGGCGATGGACATGGCGGGATGTCGTCTTCCGCAGGCGTAGACATCGGATTCTCAGGGGAAGGGAGTTTGGTGAAGTCATCTGAGGGCTCGGCTGACGAGGAGATGTCAGTCGAGGAAGAGGGCTGGTCACTGGCCTTAGAGAGGACTGTCTTCTTCGGGGCATGCTTGACGTGTTGCTCAGGCACCCAGATAGGTGAGGGGGCAGACCTAGGAAAACCACAAACGTGACCTCTGCCCCAAACTAATACAGGGTCAGGGCCATTCCATTGATTAGAAAATAAATCTCTCTATAACACCATAGGCGTGGCTGAGCCCTTTGGGTGCCAGAAACGATTAGCTGCTGAGTGACCTTCTGCATCAAGGGTTAAAAAATTTAGAACATAAAGAGCATGTCGAAGTACATCATGTGGAGACTTGTAAAAGGAAGGAGGTGAATTATTTAGTTTAAGTAATAAAGTTTTAAGGGTGGCATGAGCACGTTCAACAATTCCCTGTCCTTGAGGATTATAGGGAATTCCTGTTTTATGAATCACCTGAAATTGAGAACAAAAGGTTTGGAATGAAGAGCTGGTGTAAGCTGGAGCATTATCAGTCTTCAAAATTTTTGGTGCACCTAGGTTGGAGAACACTAGTAGACAATGAGCAGTCACGTCTTTGACTGCCTCTCCTGTATGGGCTGAAGCTATTATGAAATGAGAAAAAGTGTCAATAGTTACATGCACATATTTTAAACGACCAAAAGAAGCAATATGGGTGACATCCATCTGAAAGATGTGGCCAGGTTGTAGACCACGAGGGTTTACTCCAGTATGTGTGGGTTGAGGTAAGTGAGTCACACAAGCAGGGCACTGCTTAACAATGGCACGAGCTTGTTCTCTGGTGATCTGAAACTGCAGCCGCAGGCTACGGGAGCCCTGGTGGTGCAGGGCATGGGACATCTCAGCCTGTCTTAGAGGAGAGAGGGCAGAAGCGATTACTGGGCGTGTGAGAGCATCAGCATTCCTGTTGCCTGCAGAGAGAGGACCGGGTAAATCAGTATGTGCACGAATGTGACCAATAAAGAATTGATGAGTCCGCTTGCGGATAGTCTGCTGTAAAGGAAGAAGTAGGTGTATTATAGCAGAACTGTCAGAAAATGACAAGGGTGCTGTCTCTAGCAGATTGATCAGGTTAACTACATATTGACTGTCAGAGTATATATTAACTGATTGACCACAGGTGGAGAGCACATGTTGAACAGCAAGCAATTCTACCCTTTGGGCGGAAGTTTCAGGTGTCTGGAAAGAAAAGGGAACATCATCAATTTGTCCAGCAGCAAGTCCGTTTGAGGAACCGTCTGTGAATGCCAAAGCGGCCTGAGAAATTGGCTGCAAAGAACATGTCTTGGGGAAAATAAGATTACATCTGGAATAAAAATGCAGTATTTTGTCTTTGGGATAGTGGCAGGAAAGCTGCCCTGTGAAATCTGCAAGAGCTAATTGCCATGAGTCAGAAAATGACCACAACCAAGATTGTTCTTGGGTGGTGTAAGGAACAATCACAATAGGTGGGTCAGAGCCAAAGAGAGTGAGTGCCCTGAGGCGGCCTTTGGCGATTAGCATAGATACTAAATCGTGATAAGGAGTGGCAATACGAGGCCAACTGGCAGACAGATGGAGCCACTCTAAGATTCCTTTTTGCCAGAAAAGACCTGTGGGGGTGTAAGAGGTGCGTAAAATGCATAAACACCAAGACACTCCAGTAGTGACACGGTTTAGTTTTTGTTCTGAGAGAGCATCTTGCACCAATTGCAAGGCATGTCTAGCTTCATTAGTAAGTGTCCGGGGAGACTTTGGGTCTGCGTGGCCTCTGAGCATATCAAAAAGAGGCTTAAGCTGACCAGTAGTTAATTTAAGACTAGGCCTGATCCAGTTAAGGTCTCCCAAAAACTTTTGGAAATCATTCAGCGTACTGAGATGGGCAGTAGATACGACAGGAGTCTTATAGGACACTTGATTGGAGTCAATGAGGCGACCCAAATAATGGAAAGGAGTTACCTTTTGGACTTTGTCAGGAGATATAACTAAGTTTGAATTTGTAAGGAGGTCGCTTAAATCCTGAAAGGCTTCCTGTAGGAGGCCAGGGGAAGGAGCTGCCAAAAGGAGATCATCCATATAATGTAACAAAAGGACATCTGGATAGCGCTCACGGACGGGTGCAATTACCTGAGCGACAAATTTCTGACACAAGGTAGGGCTGTTCGCCATACCTTGAGGAAGAACCGTCCACTCATAGCGCTCAAAAGGCCTGTCAAAATTGGTTGCAGGAACACTGAAGGCAAACCTGCAGCAATCTTGAGGTGCCAAGGGGATGGAAAAGAAGCAATCTTTCAAATCAATGACTAGTAATTCCCAATTTTGAACAACAGGCGAAGGGAGACCAGGTTGCAGTGGTCCCATGACTTCCATAATTTCATTCACTTTCCTAAGGTCTTGTAAAAGTCTCCATTTACCAGATTTCTTTCTAATGACAAAAATAGGAGTATTCCATGGACTGGCAAGTAGTATTAGCATTTTCATAGGCCAATTGTTTTGTAAATAATTGAGCTGACTCGCTATCTCCAAATTGCCGTTTGACTGCCTGCATTAATCGAGAGATAAAATTTTGGTAGGGTTCCTCATTTCCCTGTTTAATTTTGGTAATTTCATCAGTAAATTCTCCATGAGTGGGAAGCTTTCTCCAGGCACGCAAAGCTAAAGCGTTTACCTGCCCAAATGCCGCTTCTGGGAGGGCAACTTGTGCCTGAACACTTTCATAATCACCTGTACCTTTTAACATCTGTAAATTAACTCCCACTCTTTGTCTCTCATTCTTTTCCGCCAACTCAAAAGCGGCATCATCATAATAAGCTTTCCACAATAAGTAGTCGCCACCTGAAAGGCAGGCATTGGCGATGCGATGCCAATCTGCAGGGGTCATGGCTTGAGTACCAAAATTTTCGAGTAAAGAGAGAGTATAAGGTGCAGTGGGTCCATAATTAGTCACTGCCTCCTTGAAATCTTTCATGAATTTTGGTGGAATAGGTTCATAATGGCGAACAATCTCGCCGTTTTGATTGGTCACCTCTATAACAGGACAGACGAGGTGAAGGTCAGAATCGGGAAATCCCTGTCTCATAGACTCAAAGGCATAAGTAGTTGCAAGGATAGGTTCTCGTGGCATAGAGCACACCACAGGCTTAGAGGAAAGCGTAGTAACAGCAGGGAAAGCTTGAGGTTTGGAAAGCGAAGCCAGGAGCCTGGATAAT